ATCGGGACTGATTGTAGGATGAAATACGAGAGTTACATTTAGCGACAAAACAAGATGATAAAGTAACCAAAGTAAGCTGTTGTGGCGGTCACTGACTGCTGAGCAGGTCTGTCTTTAACCCTAACCAGATTCAAAAGTGGAATATATAGCAAACAGTAGCCGTCTTAGGAATTCCCTACAAAGTAGTCTACGCATTAGCACCGGAGGTCTGAAAGGCCTTTGAAAGACTGTGTTTGTAACTTATGCTCAAAGTACCTGCCATACAGTCACTTCGGGAAAAATGTGTTTGGATAGATAGTGGACCACAGGTCACATCGAAGAATACAACTAATAAGAGCGGTGGCGACCATTGACGGTATCTATATGCGTTTTCAGTAGCCCAAAACTACTACTTTAACAGTCAAGACGCCAAATACTTCGTACTTTTTACGGCTTTGATCATGACTAATCTAGCCGGCCTCGATGTTACTAATTGTACCTCTCCACGCGTGAAGATTAGCGGCAGCGGAACTGGAAATCCCCACCAATTCTTTGCTCTAGCAATGAAGACCGAAGGTTCAAGAACTGCTGCCATGTCTTGACGAACGGGGTTCAGCCAGGTCTTCATTAGCCCTCCTCTTCGACGCCTCCAGGTGAGCTGTGGCGCCGGATCGACGGCCGCAGCATAACAAAGTTCGTGATGCAGAGGACGGAGAACATGCTCAAACCATCGCAGTCGTCTATAGTGGATGGCCTGAGATATCCTCGCGATACTGTCGTAGAGTGCGGACTGTCTCGTTTGAGACGAAGTCGGCGTACTTCACTCGAATGATTGGCCTCAAGCAGCAGTCGCCAAATACCTCCAGTATTCGCCCATTTTCAGCGCACAAAGCCCAGCATTCACATCTATAGTGGACTGACCGGGCAGATGAGCGGTACACGCGGGTCCTCGTGGTGATAGAGATGTCGCGTCGGATCCATAGGCACTTTCAAAGGATTTAGAAAAAGCGGCGAGCAATATCGATTTAGGAAACCATGTCGTCTTTACTCTGTCTATTCGGCAGCAGCCTCGCCCCTAGGTATTTAAAGCTGTCTACTTCTTCAGATTGACGGCTACTAATCCCCAGAGGTTCCTTCTCCTGGCCAGAGATGCAGCTCGAGCATAATTCGGTCTTCCCAGTATTTAGATGAGAGCTTTCCCAGGGAAGTTTTTTACAAATACTTCGTTGCCAATACAAGCAATGCTTTGTTATCTTCGGTTAACAAGGTTCCAAAATTCTCCACTTCTGTCCTCTGTGAACTTACAGCTGACCTATTCGCATGTCGCTCCTTACCCTTTTTTCCCTTTCCCTTCTGAGATGAACTGGTTGGTTTGGATAATTTCGCAAATTTGACCTTGAAACTGAAGGTTATCTCTGTTACTTTAAATTGTTGCTGTACATTGGTGCAATCCAAACCTGTGATCTTTCACAGAAACTCAGCCGACGCCTCTGTTGCATACGGGTATACACAGTCCAGATTTTTACTCTGGCTATTCTTGATTATTTGTGAGTAGTAACATACAGAAAATTTAGCTTCAAT